GGCCCCCCCCCTCCCGCCATGCTCGGCTGGCAAGGGAGAGGCGAGGAGACGGAGAGGGTCCAGCTGGGCAGGGTGGCAAGAGCCAGGGACGCCCAGCACCGTGGCCCTCGGCGCCATGCCTCACCTCACAGCATGCAGCAAGGCCTTGCGCTCGGTCTTCCCACCTCACTGATTTCAGCCCTGCCCGGCCATCATCGGCCTCCACGATCGCCGCGTGAGGGCTCTCCCCCGGCCATGACTCCCTTCCACAGCGCTGGCGGGAGCCGGGCTGGCTTCAGGGCGCGTTGCCACGCATGGGGGAACACGCTCCCAGCCCTGAGGGCTCCTCCTGGGCTGAGCCACCCCAACACAGCCGTCGTCTTCGCATGGCATCACTCCAGGGAAAAATTCTATCTGCTTTTTTTTTTCGTCTGACTTTAAAAAACACCCGAAAACCTGCAAGATGCAACCCTTTTCCTTCCCTAGTGGAAACGCCTGAGTTGTTGAACAAGCAAAACAAAACAAAAAGCCAAAACACCCCCTGTTTTTCTGTGGAAAAAAAAAGTGCTTAATCAGAAAGTTGTGAGATGAAGCGCCTGGTGCCACAGCGAGACGGCGGGCCACGCTGCGATGAGTGCACGGCCCCAGGGCTCTCGCCTGCCTGGCCCCGTAAAACACCGACGTACTGAGCTACTGCCCGCGAGCCAAAGCCTCTACCGCCGAGCCTTCCCCGAGGAGCTGCCACAAAGGTGGCTTTCCTCAAGCAAGCTCAAGATGTCTTCTGCTGAAGGTTTTACCCCCTGGACGGACAGGCACATTCAGTAGGATTGCAGCAGGGAGGCTCAGCCCAATCCTCCGACGCTTTCGTAGGGGTCAACATGCGGGGCTGTCAGACGGGCACCTCCGGCAAGCACAAAATCCCTGGGATAACGTGTAAATATGAGATGAGGGGACAGAGACCAGCATCGTCATCGGCAGCCCGTCTCACTTTCCCAGCACCTTAGTTTGAAATACGGACAGACGACTGGCTTCTTACTGCTCCCGGCTAGGTCCAGGCTGCCAGAGGGCTGGAGAGCTGCTCTCACAATTACTATGGAAAGCCCAGCAGAGCCAAGCCAGAAAAAGAACTGGGTTAACTGAGACACTGTAATAAGAAATTTGCACTTGAAAAGGCCCCTCCGCTCTCCCCTCCACCCCTCAGATCAAAGCGGCTCTCCCACCATGCGATTAGCAAAGCTCTGATTGTAACAAGAGGGGTTAACAGCTCCATCGGCCCCACACAAGACTTCTAATAGCGCTGCCTCGAAATGACAGCTAAAGCCTTCACATGATCCCTCACATGAGTGCCCTCTGGCCATCGCAGCTCACCGGCTTCCCGGACAATTTGATTACAAAGTGGATGGGCTTTCAGTTGCTTACTGTAAGCACAACAGCGTCCGCAGCATCCTTTAGGGACCTGAGCATCTGAGCAGGGGTTATGAGCGGGGATTAGCGATGCCTCTTCCTTTTATTCAACCTGCACAGGCCAAGGCAGCCTCCCCGGTTTTTTATTTCAACTCTGGGAAAAGAGCAGAGCTTGGCTGATTTAAACCAGGTTGTGATGGGGAAGGTCAGAACTCCTGAACCCCTGAGGCTTCTGACTCCAGGATCTCCCACCAAGCGACTCCACCTCCGAGCGAAGCCAGGGCTCCCGAGCTCTCTTGCCAAAGCTGAAGAGGGGATGGAGTCCATCTCTCCAAAGGAGAGACACAGAAATCAGGAGAACTATGTTTTAAAAAACTCACTAAGGAGTACAATGTTCTCTACGCCTCCGTATCTCATTTTCAAAGCAAAGATATCAATATTTAGCCAGTAAATATGTTTGTTATGGACAAAGCTTGTAAACTGTTTTAAGATTCTTCTGTGAAGGCAGATGTGGGAAGAAAAACATTGTTGTTTTTCAAAGGAGTTTGCCACACAGTCATTACGAAAGAAATACGAACATCAGTTCACCCTGCTGCTGTTCTCAGTGTTATTCAGCGCTCGGGTAGCAGCGTCCCTCGCTCCAGATCCTCAAGGCAGTCTCTGTAACACCGCTTTCACAGCAGCGTAAGGCCAGGCACAGCGAGGTGCAGCGAAACCCCAGGGCAGTGGAAGAGCCGCACCCTCCAGCCTCGCTGGACCACCGTGCCCAAATTCAAAGAATTTCAGTAACAGAGCCACGCACAGATCACTTAAGACCTGACTCATTTCCCTTACTCTGATCGTGCTGTTCTCTACATCAAAGAAGTAGATTCTTTTTAAGTATTTACCCATCTGCGTGTCTGTTGCTATGACTGCTGCTGTTTAACTGAAAAGGTGAGGGATTTAGATAGGAAATCATCCCCAGTTCTGCTTAGGGAGGAAGATTATCACTGTTCAGTTCTCATAGCAGCAGGGCTGAATGCCACAGGACTGAGGGGCATGACGGAAGCCCACCACGCACCGTCTCACAGATTTCAGCGCGGGCGAGTTAAATGAGGAGCCACCTGCGGGGTATTGTTCTCCAGTACCTTGGAGGCAGTCTGAAGCGCATCATGTGCAAGCGAAAAGTTACAGTCCTTACAATGAGCCCAGGTGAGGAGGACTCGCATGTACAGGTGTTACTACAGCCTACACTGACTTGCAGCTGACACTAGAATTCTCTCTGCCTGCATGGTTGGGAGAGCGGGGGGAAGGAGGCCCAAGAAACCCAAATTCCTTTCTTTGCGACGAAACTATCTGCAGGATGTAAAACCACTCAAAGACACATTTGATCTTCTTTACTGCAGCGCACATAAAAGCAGCATCTTACAATGGGAGAAGAGCTCAGGTCTGAAAGTCTGGTCTTGTTTACACTCCCACTCCCAATGAGGAATGAGTTAATGCACTGTAGAAAGCAGGGTACCGATACCCAATTCCCCCATTCACTCATCTTTGCCAAGTTCTTCGCCCATCTGTGAAACAGATTAAACTTCTGTACCGCAGCGAGCAGAGAGCCCAGCTGAGCGGGAGCACGCCGTTCGCTGGGGCCTGCACAGATCTGCATGGGCAGAGTCACCCACACCAGCTTTGCGAGGTGTGCACCTCAGAAAAGATTTAGCTACACCCCTTCAGAAGGCAGCGCAGGCATCAATAAATGCTGTTTGTGCTGAGTGAAGCCTTCTGTATTTCAGGAAAACCAAAGTCTAACTTAAATCCAGCTTTAAGAGAGCGAAGGCGGGAAGCTACCTCGTTTTTTTACTGTATGGCAAAAGCAGCATCCATGGCATACTTGACACGTGCAAGATCTACACCCCAGCACCTCAGCAGTCGGTCGGTGCAGCCGTATCTGATCAGGGCTCGCATGCGAAGTTACAGCAGAGCAGTTGGTGTGCTATGAACTCACAGCCTAGTTTACTGCACAAATAACTTTGCCACATAGACAGACCTGAGAGGCAGCCCTGGCCCGATTGTTTCCACTTTCCTGCCTCACCGGGAAATGCCAGAATTAATTAAGAACATTTGTAAAGTGTTCTATACCGCTAAACTGCTACTCAGACAGAAACTAAATCCTGATCCAGCTTCCTGTCATTTTCTCTGCTGTTCTGCAGACTTCGAAGACTTTATGCAGGAGACTTGCTGCAAGCGAGATCCGAACGCCAACCCACCCTGTCAGTCAGGACGATAACTCCGACAGTACGGCAGCATCTCAGGTGACGTCAGCTTCCCCCCGCTCCAAAACTTTCTGAGGAATTGTACACAAAAAGCTGCAGGGAAGCCACCTTTCAGAAGAATGGCGTTATTTTTTTAGAAGACTGAAGTCTCTAGACTACAAAATTTTGTCGTTGATAACTTGCTTAAAAGCACCTCCAGCAGCATCTTCATCAAAATGGCTAAGAGCATTGTAGAAAATTGTTTGATACAATTATTCCTATTGCATAAACAAGATCTAGGGGGTTACAGGCAGAGCTGGGGTTACAATCACTGCAGTGCTGACACGCCAGGGTTGATCGCTTTTGCCAGGGGACCGCACTGCTTCCAGCACAGACGCGAAGGGCATTGAAGGAACCGGTCCAGCGTAAGCGCGAGCGTGCTTCGTACTCACCACCCGGGCGGCTCTCTCCTGGGATTCGCATTTCCGACAGAACCAGGGTCCGGTAGGAACCTGGACGATTCCATAGCAAGCTGGAAGAACAGTAAAGAGAGTTCATTAGACCATCTTTAAATCGACTGTTTAATTTCGCAGGTGCATACAAAAGTTTGCCAGAGCTGTTGTCAGTCAGCGATGGGTGAGAAAAACAAAAATTACATCTACGCAGCGTTTTACTCCCCTTTCTAGTTTCCATATCCAGCCACAGCAGACAGCTTTTTGCAAGAGGTCCAGTGTTACACATCTCTTCAAGTTTTCAAATAAGCTCATGAAAGATGGCTACGAAAATCTGGCCTAAGTGGGAATCAAGTGCTTCATAAACTGTGTCTAATTTGGGTCTAGCGAACGCAAACGGAGCAATTTACCCCTTCACTTTTTCAAGTGTCACTAGTGATCTAAATATAAAATTATGAAATGGATGGCTATGAAGCACCTTAACCATAATTCGGACTAAGGTAAAATCTCAGCTTCCTGAAGGAGATCATCCCGGTGAGAATTCAGACAGACACCGAGTGAAACCTCCCACCCTCAAGTCTGTACGTCACGTCCAGCGGCCCCCAGCCTCTGCTTCCAAGATCACCGCACTCAGGCTGTTCAGGGCTACTCCCGGGAACAGGTTCTGCGTTAATACAAGACTCCAGCCGACAACACAACGAAACTGCTGGTTTTATCCAGCTATACCGTGCGTCCCTTTTGTTTTCTGCACCACTACTGATGCTCTCAGGATCTCATTCCGCATGCTGTAGCCCCCACTAATTTGAAACGTTCCCTTCTCTGACGGGGCAATGTTGCCTGAAGACTGTTCACCTTCTTTGGCAACCTTCTCCCTCTAACCATCCAAGGGTGGTCTTTGGGAGTCCCAAAGGAAGCATTTCACAGAATCACAGAATAGTAGGGGTTGGAAGGGACCTCTGTGGGTCATCTAGTCCAACCCCCCCCCTGAAGGGGCTCTCAGACACCACGCAGGTGGATTTAAAGCAACACAGGCTGGTAAAGACAGTGGTGAGCAGTAAGGCTATGCATCTCAGACGAGGGTATAGGAGTCTCCTAGGAAAGAACAAATTGTATCTTCCTTATTCCACCTTCAAATGCGAGCTGGCGGTTGGAATGGAATCCCAGCCACTTGAGACATTTGAAACTAGGTTGGACAAAGCATCTGAAAATATCCTGCTGGAAGCAATCCTGTGATGTTCCCCGGGGGATGGACCAGACGCGACCCGCAGTAGGTTCTCTCCATCTCTCTAACGTCTGTTATTCCACATCAGCCAGGAAAACGAACGCAATTGTAGAGTTAAACTGAAAGAGCTGACTGCAAGATGAGCCAAGGCATACACATAAGAAAATAGAAACTACATGAAAGCAGTGACAGAGGAGCCTGCCTTGGGTCCATCTTTAGCAGTGGGCTTAGGGCCAGAAGCTAGCACTCAGCTGGAGCCAGTGCGAGCTTCTGTGCCCACAGCTTCAAAAAGGAAGAAAACAAGGAAGAAAACAAGGAACAATGTGGACCATAAGTAAGGCAGAGTTGAAAATACGGTCTGTAAGTGTTCCTAACTATCCTATTAGAGTCTTCATTTCCAATCAGATGTTTTTGTTAACATTTTTAATGTTTTACTAGAAAGAGCAGATTTCTAATCATTGTCACAGAAATGGTACTGATCTTTTGAAGAATCAGCCCTAATGTGTAGCTGTAATGTAAGTTTAAAAAAAATACAGGGTTCTTTATTTAACTGTACAATCATTTCAAAAGGTAACTTTGGTTTCGTGGATATTCAAGCAGTACAAAGAGATACCAAACCCAGTGTGAGATTGCGTGGAATGAGACTAGATGACCCAGCTGATCCCCTACAGCGGTTTGTTTCTATTTAAGAACTAAAAGCCTACCAAAACACCACACTACTGCTAGGATTAGGAGCGGGCTTTAAACACAGCCTTGACGAACATGCACTCCATGCTGCTACGCTCCTTATGAATTATTATATCCTGAAGGACCCTTACAAGACCTAAACAGACCGTTGTGTTTTCCAAACGTGCAGGCAGTGCCCTCTCCGAGACTCTTCTAACACGTTCCGACTCCACCAAAACAACTCCACCCGCCTGCTTC